TTAGGCTTCTTGTGTGACTCACAAACTCATCTTTCAAACAGAAAAAAGACAGAAGGAGGGAGGTGAAGAGGGAAGCCAGGAAATTGTTTACACGCCAATAGGGAGGCGTTAAAATGTCGATATTTAGTAGACGTACCAATCTACTCCAATGATAACCACACACCTGGGTCTCATAATATAAAAAACACCAATGTGTCTGTACAATCACTGTAGCACCATTAGCACAACAGGCTGAACAAATACCAAGATCCTCTCCTTTATTTAAGATTAAAGACTCGCTTATACTAATACTGATAATTGAGAGTAAACAGGAAAATAAAAGGCTGATCTCTCAAAATGTGCTTCTTGTGTTGTATAGCAAAGTCGACAACTTTTCTAAACTAGCCAAACATTCAAGCAAATGCAACAACACAAGACATAACAAGTCTGCCTATATCACTTACTAGTCCAACAGCAAGAAGGCCAGCTCGCTGTCTGCAGCCTTTTATTTCACAGCGCTCTCGCCAACGGCTAAAAGCCAGTCCAGATGTAAGATATGCAGCGGCTTCACTCTCCTTTTATCTACTCAGCTTCCTCCGTCGTCCTCTGAGGGTCTTTACATCCGCCAATAGCTATGTCCATAGAAGCTGCTGAGCCCGGTTACATTGCCAGCTCCAGTCCTGGCTCAACCAGCACCTTGTCAGCATTTCTCCCCCTGTTCCAGATCCGAAAAGCTCCAGCACTGCCAGTGTAAACACAGATATTCCCCCATCACTCTGAGCACCCAGTCCTAGGCAGTACAGGCAACTAAACTAGCCTTAGATAACAGCCATCCAGAAGCTCTGTAGTCGAGGCAGAGCAGCCGGAGGACATCAGAGGGAAAACCAAAAAAACATTTCCTCAATTAAATACGATCCAATTTCACCAAAAGCAGTGACATAGTTGGTGGTGACTAGCACCGTAAAGTGTCACATTCTTGTAGCGACCCGAAACCAAAAGTTAGAACAGGCCTTGCTCTGTGTGTTTCTTTTCTGTCTGGAAATAATGATTTCATAATGTTGGTAATCAATGATAAATTAAGTTCAGAGGTTGGATTTTGGTCTAGATCCTCTGGAGAGTAAGTGGTCAAACGGTACAAGTCAAAGGAATATATTTATTATAGTTATTAGTTTAACTCTTTATAAAGGGCATGTGCAGTTACATTACACGGCCAAAAATATTTGACCCCGAGGTGTGGTTGCTGTCATTCCATTCAAAACCCCCAAACCATTAATCTACTACTATAACAGCCTCCAGTCTTATAGGAAGACTTTCTACCAGATTTTAAAACCTGGCTGCAGGGATTGGCTCACATTTAGCTCAGTTATTAGTGAGATCGGCCCCTGCAGTTGAGAGATAAGTCCTGGCTCCATTCAGGTTTTTCCAAAAGGTGATGGATGGTGCTCAGGTCAGGGCTCTGATCAAACTGGAAAAACATCTCTTTATGCACTGGTGTCCACATACTTTTGACCACATTGTATATTTTGCATTTATCTGACAATATTGACCTACTGACATAACTGAGATGAGTCCTGGAGCTTGAGAATTACAAGGGACAGAGTATAACATCTTTTCTTATAGCCCAGAAATAGCTTTCTGTGCAGGCTAAATGTCAGTTGGGTCACACATGAGAAAAGAGTACATAGAGATTGGGAGAATAAAGGGAGAGGAGTGTGGGGCGGTCGTCAATAGACAGAGAGAGCAAGTGAGAAAGATGAGAAACAAATGGATTAAAAAAATAAAAGTGGTTGAGAGAGCGGGGGGCATGTGTGTGTGTAAAGGGGTGGGGGGGATGCTGGGTTTTTGTTCTTTATGAGTTGGAAAGGGCTGCTGGTATTGGATTGGCCCTCTGAGGCTGGTGGCCACTCTGCGATCAAACGCTAAAGCCCCTCTGTCATCCTGCAAACCAGACGCTGTGTCAGGCCTGTCATTTTCAAAGTGGCTTTACCCTCGACTCGATACATCCATCCCTTCTCTTCATCCTTTGCTTCTCTAACCTGCTTCTGCAGTTTCTCTGTCAGTCATATTCGCTTAATGTTAATCTCTTCTTTTTGCCTTCTCTGCCTCCAGCTGCCGTCTCCGACTGCGATGAGCACGGCCCTGAGAGGAATCTCCTGCTACCTGAGAGAGGTGAATGCATGACTCCTCTGTTTTGGTCACCTTGACCTCTCTTCTGTCTCGCTGTCTGTCCTCATAGTCCATCTTTCAGCTTGTTGTAAAGGACTACACTGAGCTTTGTTCACCTCATTGGCTCCCGAATCAAGTTTCTGTGCCAGAACGTGACAAACATCCTAAAAGTATGAGGATAAACCTGTTTGTATTCCAAGGTTGCTTTTAGTTTTCATTCTATGGAAACAAAATATCATTCTTCATCGGTTTTTCAATTAAGCATAATCAGCACAACAGGTTTAACTGTTCACAAGTGCTGAAAGAAATTTTAAATTAATCCGTTGATTAGCAAAGTTAAACAACATTTTTGATAACTGATTAATCATTTAAGGCATTTAAAAAGCAAAGAGACAGCAAATGTGAGAATTTTATAATTTATTACATTATTTATTGATTGGTTGTAAAAACATCTTGATTTTGGGCTGTTGATTAGACAAAACATGCAATTTGACAACTATTTTATATAATTTTATAAACCAAAAACTGTGTTGAATTGATGATGAACTTTACTCACCTGCTCTTTGAGTTTTATGTTAATTTCTTAAGACTTGCAGGTTAAGGTGGTCGCCATTCAAATTAAAGCACTTAACACAAATTGTGTATACTTAACATCACAGCTAACTATTCTGCAAACCATTTGAATTTATTTTTCAGATGCCTGCTTATTTCCATAAATTTCCGTAAAACTCAAAAATCAATTAGCAGACTCAGTTAAGTCAAGTAATCCATTAAACAAGCATTCATTTAATGCTGTGAGGTACTGTAATTAAGTGCAGTACAACTGGGCAAACTGCATAACTGTATCTAAAACTAGAAATTTACATTAAAGTGAGATTATGTAGCTTTTGCTAAACAGCAGCCGTCAGCCGACATTAGCCTCTATAGGCTACTGTGCCTATTGCTTATGAACTCAACCTTCAATTTATAAGAGGAAGAATGGTGAGTTATCTATCTATCTATAAAGCAAGAAATCTCTGTCTGTCTGTCTGTGTGTGTGTGTGTGTGTGTGTGTGTGTGTGTGTGTGTGGCTCAAATATCTCTGCAGA